TGTTTCTCACCAATACTCCTACTTAAAGTAAACATTAATATAAGGAATTGGTCACAAGGTATGTGAGTTTTAAAGGGTGGGAAACTGGAAAGGAATGATCCCCCTTTAATTAGGAACGAAATTAAAGTGGGCTCTGCTATTTAATTCATGCTTTTATTTTAACCTGCATGAAAGTTAAACTAATTGGCATTCGCATAATGCACAAAGCAAGAATATAAATTATGACTTAGCTTAATAGGTTATAAAATTAAAATAAGAAAGTTGTGCAGACCGTATCTTGCCTTTTATCCCTCTCTGGATATTTACTCAAATAACATAGTCACTATCAGTCCCTCTCACTCTTACTTTCCACTGAGCTTGTGGAAAGATGAAAACCTCAGTATTTCTTTAAATGAAGAAAGGATAGCCTGCCCTCTTACCACAGATGGTTCTTTTGTACATCATCAGTATATACCTAGTCTTATTTGTACATGAAGTTGATTGTTCTAGGTAGGCTAACCTAATAAATTACCGTAGTGATTCGATTATAAGGCGCACTCGGCTATAAGACGCACCCGCAATTCGGCAACTTCATTATTGCATGTTTTCAAACTGAGAAAATCGCTAAAATACTTGGTTATAAGGCGCACCGTTGTTTGGGGAGTAAAGATCGGTCAATGTTATTGTAAATTCTTTCATAAACTTACAAAAAAGCGAAAAAGTCGCGTATTGATTTTAGTTTACCGTTAATCAACAAAAGCAGAATTATCGCACACGCGACCACGCACACAAACAAAAGCCTTGATTAAACAAGATGTACCGCCGAGAATGCAGGTCTCAGTGCACTAAAAAGGCTGAAAGGATAAAGAAGGTATTTACCTCTTCGCTTGTTTATTTTCGTTTCGTTTTGTGACGTATCACATTACTAAGCACGTGCTCTCGAGCACGTAGCACATCTATGCAAATTTGACTTCGCTTGTCTTTTCATAACCACCATATTCATAAAAGTCAATGTGTGTGTGTCGTTTTATTTGCTTGAAATCGTACCAGTAACTGTGATCAAAAAGATTGTTTCGGGAAAATATTCGCCTATAAGACGCACCCAAACTTTGGTGGTAATTTTTAGTAGAAATTAGGAATTTCTTGAAAAAAGCGGTGCGCCTTATAACCGAATAACTACGGTAGTTGTGAAAATTTCTTTGTTTGACTCAATTTTACCTGACAAATCTATACTGAAGAAATAGAAACTTGAAATTTATTTCTCTTCCTTTTGAGGTGTGCATGAAAATTTTGAATTTATGGCAGGCTTGAACTACAGGTTTATAAGAAATCTGCATGTGTGTGGGTGTGTTTTCAACATACAAAACCGGTAAAAAGGTTGTTTAATTTTTTTCACTAGTACACATTTCTTTTTCTAAGAATCTTGTTATTTAGCCTTTTCTGAGTTCTAATTTTTCCAACAAAGTTTACATTCTTTTGAATATTCTTAGATCTCCTAGTATCAGTTAATATTCATGTAATTAAAATAATTACATCAAATCTTGCAGATGTTTGTTACATTTTTCCACTGATCCTACTGACATTTCATCACGCGTAGGGATTGGTTTTGGCTATAAAAGTATAGTTAAATTAAATATTTGTGCACAGCCTATGCATCAAATATTTGTAATAAAACATTGTATCCTTCTTAAAACTAGTTTATCAGAATAAGAATGAGTTACCAGGCACAAGTATGGCTTTCACGATGATGGTTTCAAGGTTTGAAAAAAGTCAATGCCTACTAAAATCCTCAGCTCCTTTACCTTGACAGCCCAACCTCATCAAAACATTGGCAACACGAGCAATTAGTAAATTAACAAAACAGACAAGAGAGCCTATTCCCATATACAGCCTCCTCAATCCTGTTTGCTTACTATAGACATGACATTTCAAACATGGTGTATGTTTCCCTGACTAAATTGAAATATAATACAACTACTTGCCAGTAGGCAGTCAAATGAAAACTTTTCACATATCAGTAAAGTTTATCGTTGTATTTCATGTTAACATGTTGCAATAACTCTACCTTCCGGTATATTCGACTATTTGCAAACACGAGAAAATACCATCTAAAACTTTTCAACCCATTTAATATAGCCAATAACAACATCAACTCAACTTTAAAACGAAAGAGAAAACTTGATTGATGTTTGGAATTGATTGCTATGATGTAAAAATGAAATCCAGGTATTATCTCAAGTTTTCCACAAATGTCTTCATGATCGAATCCTAAGTCTCTTTTCGACATCAAGTTTTAATCATGACATTTTAGCTCTAGCTCGTCTTCTTTAAAAGCAAATCTTTGCAGCGCAAGAAACATGTTAGACGAATTTCGTTAGCTAGAGTTGCTAAGATCATGGCCAGTTGGCTTAAAGAAACCTACATTATAAGAAGTTACCACAGAGGTTACCGAATTAAATAACAGAAAGAATCTCAAGAAGACTCCGTGTAATTCCAGCCAGAGGACAAACATGAAATAATAAAAGCAAGAACGGGAAAAGTTTTAAGAAATTACAGGTTCAAACATAAGTTGAAAATGACTTCCTTTTAATTTTTACGCGAAACAGAGGCGGTTGAATCGTTAGGGAAAAAATGATGGGGCAAGCAGTCATACCTGGCAACTTCAAGAGAAGATATAAGAGAAGCCCATACGATTCTGGCGTCTTGATTTACTAATTCACTGGTATCACGTGTATACTCTTCGTTCGACTGTTGATGTCAAACTCGAAGTAATTTACAGTCGTTTCTTTCAATTTTAGCTCATTTTCCAAAACCAAAATTATCATTCGTGCTCAAAAGTACGTAACTTCAACTGATACTGACATCGCACACTTCCTCTGAAGAAGAAAAGATTCTCTATCTTCGAAAATTTGCTCAAAACATCAGAAACTACAACGAAGTCCTCAGCTGCTTGAAGATACCGCTGACTAGTATGTGTTTTATCGCAAGTTCTGAGAACGTCGTCCTTAAGTTCCAGACCTCGCCAATTCTTCCCTTCCCTCCCCATCCCCCGGACTAGTCTCTTAATCCCCTTGAAGAAACTCTTCTACAGTCAGTGCTGAAGAGTTTTATCAGAGTTTTTATTATAACGAGGGGCTAGAAAATAAACTAACGAAGGCTCCGCTTTTAGGCTTGGCTAATTCTATATATTAATACGTATTTCTCCGTCTACCTCGATCTTGTAGCTGGTTGGACAATAATAAGCTGACATCTGTACCAGATTTGACAGGTCCAAAGACTTTAAGTTCCTTGTAAGTAACTACAAGAGATTAAAATCTCTTGGTAACTATTATCTTTTGATATACCAGTCATTTTATTGTCATGCATGGGAAGTAATCTTACGTCAGAATGTAGATAATATCTTTCACGGGTGAGATATAAAATAATTTTAAATGTACAGACAGCACAGACAGGTGTTAAAAAAAAGTTTAAAAAATAATTTATCATTCTAACAATAACCTTGTATTAATACAGTTAGTATGACAAATGAAAGTCGTCGTCATTAGAACGGGGGACTGTCAAATTTAATTGCTCTTAACTCTTTTTTTCTTCTCAGACACCTACAAGAGAATGAGATCACAGATTTATCAAGAATTGCCACTTCTAGAATTGGACACGTTTATGAACTGTAAGCGTTTTTTCCCTATTGAACTGAATGTTTCATTTTTTGTTTGTTTGGTTGTTTGGTTTTTTTTAGGTGGGGGAAGGGGGTATTTACCAAGGAACCGGATTCCTTTTCTTTGGATGGCTATATTCAAGTGTGCACCATCTCTACTAACGTTTGAAAATGCTGTTTTAATCTTGTAGATTGTTGTCTAACAATAAGATCGATCACCTTCCACCGAACATATTTAACAATACTCTCGTAATAGGGAGCCTGTGAGTAACCAAAACTACAAACAGAGCGGAGTGTTCGTTCTGTGGCTGTCTTTTGATAGTATTACGTATAAAAGACATCACTCTTACTGTGTATCCATATTTTCCATATCGTGATTTCCTCTATTATAAAGGAAAGACGTGAAAATGCAACTGTTCCTTCAATTTTTGCTAAGATCTACTTTTTTTAAAAGACTTAGAAAATAAGGAGAAATTTCCAGATAACTTTAACTGAGGATGAATCTACCTGTAGCACCTTTTTTGATCCGACCGTTGTTATGTCTCCCTTTGGGTTTTTCAAGAGATATTAAAGAGTTCATAATCGATTGGTTTTTTTTTCGCTTACGTTTTATTTTCGATAACTTTATTTTTCTCGTTTCTCCATAGTGATTTGTCATTCAATAAATTGCAGTCATTACCAGATGAAATATTTAATAGGCTCGATCAATTAAACATTCTGT